TTTTTTTTTTTTTTTTGGAGAGATTTTCACTGTAGGGCGCATGCGCTCGCCAGACAGACAGAGAGAGACATAGAGACAGAAAGCGAGAAATCACCCCCCAGGGGGGATGGTCACGCCGCAATCCCTTCTCCTCCATTCTCCTCTCGGGATCTTGGGCACGCACGCACACGCGCCCGGCGTGAGTTTTAAGCCACCGGGTCCAGGACGTGAACCGCGGTCGACTACGTGGGAGTCCAGCGACATAGCCATTACGCTAACTGCTGGTTCCCTGCACTCTTATTCTGAAAATACTAAAATAGATCTTGATTCATACACCACTTGTAGCACAGAGTAGCTATCTAATGAGTTCACACACAGTTTCAATAGGTTATGGAAGATGTGTGAACACGTGGGAATAAATGAGAAGGTAGAAGATTTGTGGCATCTGTACACTAAGAGTAATTCTGAATAGGTGAACAGTACACTTACTCGCTACTTTTTATTAAGCTGGAAAAGAACATCAGATGCTGGAAAAAGAGGATGGTGGGAGTTGCAGCACCAGTGTCGGTTATACTGAGGAACCAAAACATTTTTTTCAGATAATGCCTAATACTAAGGTCTGAAACTAAAAAAAAGTATTTAAAATAAAGCAGTTTAACTTTCGTCACTGCAAAAAGTTCCCTTTGGCTTTTTTCTAAAACACTAATTTGCTGTGAGTGCTGAGTTGAAGATCTGACCCAGAACAATAGTAAAGGCAGTGCTATTGAAGTCTTCACTCTAGGTGAGAGGTAAATCATTTGACATTACTCACACTGTTGACTCGGATCTGCGTCTGTTGTCATCTTAACATAGTTTGAAGGGAAGAGACCAGTCACCCCGCTGATTTCTCCTTGCCACCAGTCAGGGTCATCTTTGTCCATAACATTAATTAGTTGTCCCTTGGAGAAGTTGAGCTCATCTGCATTATTTGCTACATAGTCATACATAGCGATCACCTGACATACTGTAAGAGGAATGACAAAATAATTAAAGATTTGTGTAAGGATCAAATGTTAAAACTCTCCTTAGTATTTCGATGACTCAAACATTAAATATTAAATTGAACTAAAATTTCCCTTGAGCTGCCCTCTCTCCCAGCCTCCTTCCCCGACTATGTTTGTTTGTTTGTTTGTTTTTTAAAAAGACTCTCCTAACAGTTGAAAATCCAAGTATACTGGGACCAGCAGATGGCGAATGGATAAGTTGCTGGACTCCTACGTAGTTGACCATGGTTTGAGTCCCAGACCCAGCTGCTTAAAACTCTGCTGGGTATGTGTGTATGCATGCTCAGGATCCAGGGAGGAGAAGAAATTGTGATGTGGTCATCACCTCTGGGGAGTGATTTCTCACTTTCTGTCTCTCTGTTTCTCTCTGGTAAGTCCTATAGCAAAAATCTCTCTTAAAACAAAACAAAACAAAACAAAAACAAGTAAAATGTTTCACTCTAAGTATGATGTTGTAGAAATTTTACGTTGAAGAACAAGGACTGATGTGATTTAAGAACCAATAAACAGTTGGCTATTTCTAGAGAATTTTCCAGAAAGGAAGTTCTCAGTGGCTTTTAAGCAGAGGTAAAGATAAGACAAAAAATAATTTTTTTTTTGGAGAGGTTTTTGCTATAGGGTGCATGCACTCATCAGGAAGACAGAGAGATACAGAGAGACAGAAAGCGAGAAATCACCCCCCAGGGGGGATGGCCACGCCGCAATCCCTTCTCCTCCATTCTCCTCTCAGGATCTTGGGCATACATGCACACGTGCCTGGCATGAGTTTAAGCCACCGGGTCCGGTACTTGAACCATGGCCAACTATGTGGGAATTCAGTAACATAGCCATTACACTAACTGCTGGTCCTGACAAATTTTTTAAAAATTATTTTATTTAAGTTTATTTATTTAAATTTGACCTGAGATGGAGAGAGAGAAAGTGAGAAAGCAAGCTGCCAGGTCCAGGACTAGAACTGTGGCCGGCCAGGTGGGAGTCCAGTGCTCCTAACCACCATGCCACTGGCCGATCCCAAAAAGACAAATTTTCAATGTTTTTCAAACAGCTAGCTAATGTGAAAAGTTACTGAGTTTTAACAAACTTCCCACAAGTTAGCCCATTTCCATACCAGGATGAAAGGCAGGTGTGGTTCTTTCACTACTTGGACCCAAAAGCTTAACGTGGCTGGCAGGAAACCATCCCTTCTGTCGCTTTTTTCCTCTGGCCTATAAAATAACCAAAAGGAATATAAAATTCAAAGATTAGATTAAAAACAATCATTGAGATATGACTTAGAAAGCACAAAAACTGTGGCTGTATAGTTAAGAATTTAACCTTGTCCAAAGAAAGGCCTGGCCTTTAGTTATCTCTAAATCCCTGGAATACCCTGCTTGATAAAGAGTGTCTTAGTTTACTTGGGGTACTTGAGCCAGGTCAAACCTAGCAATGGGATTTACGGTGAGTTCTTCGGGTCATTCAGTGTAAGCTCAACCTCTGAAGGGCTTGGCACGTGAGCTCAGCCATATAGGCAATCATATCTATGTGAAGGTGTGCCAATAGAAACTCTGGGCACCAAGACTCCATGATTTCCTGGTCGGCAATACTCTGCACAGGCTGCTACACAGCACTGCCATGAGAGGTTAATGCTGTGTCCCCACTAGGAGAGGACAACTGGAAGCTCCCTTCTGGAACGCTCCTGCACTCTGACCATGTGTCTCTTCCCTTGGCTGATTTTCACTGTAATAAACTGTAACTACAAGGGTAATAGCTGTTAGTTCCATGAGTCCTCCTAGGGAATTGTTAAACTTAAGAGTAGTCCTGGAGACCCTCAAACTTGAAAATGGTTTCAGAAATGAGGGTGGTCTTGGGGACCTCTGATCTCAGAATTGGCCTTTCGGGTCAACATTAAATACTAGAAGACTTAGAACAATATGCATTTCAAGGTGCTGCTGAAAACACCATCTGTTGAAATCTACTGGGTGGTTATTTAGGCTCACAGTTCACTGAGTATTTCACACACATATTTATAATCTAAAAAAAAACCTTCCTAGTGTTCTAGTAAGTTTGAGCCAGCCCTTACAATGATGCAGACCACTGCAAACACCTCTTGGAGCTTTGTTAAGAATAAGTCATTAATAAAGTTTGTGGAGAAGGATGTTTTCTACTTAGTTGGGTCCATCTTCATAGTAAATCAGAACGTGGAATTTCAGGGGATTAGTCAAGAAGATATTGAAATTGGATCTCTATTTTCTTTAGGAATCCTAAGACTCTGATCTGCAAGAATGAAGCTATTTCTATTCCTCTTTACTATAATCATATTGAATCTTATATGAAAACCAGGCGTGGGCTGGCTGGTGGTGTGGTGTTAAGGCAGCTGGATCCAACATGGCCAACTGCACAGCTCAAGTACTAGACCAGGTGGCTTGAAAAAGACAACGGGAGACTGTGTGTGCATGGCCAAACTCCTGAGAGGAGAAAGGAGAAGGGACTGCGGATGGCCACATCGTCACATGGGGGGTGGGTGGGAGCTGGAGGGGCAATGCTTTCTCACTTTCCCTCTTTTTCTCTGTCTCTCTTTAGCAAATGCATGTACACTACAACAAAAATTTAAAAAATAATAAAATCAGAATCAGGCTTATCTATCTCTGCATTCTCTTCTCTTGCATCATTGTTTCAAAACCTGAAATATTACCTGTTGGGAGACAGTCCAACAGGTAATATCTCCTTAGGACACAACCTGACTCATGTCTTTTTCCTAGAGGCTACAATGCAAGCCTAGGGCTATCTAAAATAAAACTGATGGTAATGAAACTGATGGTATACTTTTTTTTTTTTTTTTATTAAGAAGGTGACCTGTGGTTAAAAATTATGCCCTTAGAAAAAATTATTCTTAAAAAAAAAGAAAAAGAAAAGTATTCTTTTGATAGTTACTTACAATGTAAACTCAACTGTGCTACAAATGAACAGGCAAAAATGAGAGCAAAACACAACACAGTACAATGTTGGTACTGATTACCTCTAATCACGATTTTTGGTGATCTAAAACTTTTATGAATTTTCTCTTTTTAAGTGTGAATTACTTCTATAATAAAATTGACAGATGTGAAAGAATTTACCTGTAACTCCCCTTGCCACCACCCACTTGTATTTTTCTTTAGAATTAATATTAACTGCCCTGGTGCAAGGCTAAGTTGTTCAGAACCAGAGGCAACATACGCAGAAGTTACTTGGGCAATCTCTGAAAAAAAAAAAAGAAGAAACTATGAATTCAAGACTACAACAGAGCAACTTCAGTGATTTTTCAACCTCTTATACATACCGGGTTTTTTGTTTGATGTTCCAGATTTGCTAGCACTCCCAAAACTCTGTAAGGAAAAGATACATTGCCTTATTATTTCTAGTAATCTAGATGTAAAATACAAGGTTTATTAGGAATTAGAGGTTTCTAATTTCCAGAATTTTTGTTTCTTTTAATAAAGATTGAAATGACAGTGAGCCTTATATTAACCAAGTAAGAATCTAACACTTATGTGGAAATCTGATCTGTTAGAGGAATACATTATATTCAAGTATACGATGTCATTCACTGACTCAACAGGGAGAGCTTGTTTTCTGAATCTTCCCTGGATATTAAACATGGTATCTAGGCCAAATGCACTCCATTTATCAGAGGGATTAGCATCAATGCCCAGTGTATACAATAAATGTGTCCTGCATAAGCTTATGTACACATAGAGTCTGAGAGACCTTGACTCATCGACAGCTCTAGCTGAGGAGTCAAGGTTTTATTTTAAAAAATTGTTTTTACCTTGCTCCCACCAGACTGACCATATCTGACATAAGAACAAAGAAATGATGCCCTAGGTAGCAACTTTGATCTGGCTGATTTTAAAGTATAAACGGGGGTCAGCTCCACGGCCTGGTGGTTGAGGCAGCTGGCTCCCACGTGGATGACCATGCAGTTTGAATCTCTGGACCCGGTGGCTTGAGAAACACACCAGGCATGTATGCACTGTATGCCCAAATCCTGAAAGGAGGGAGAAATGGAGAAAAGGTTTGAGCAGTGTAAGCATCCCGATGGGGGGGTGGTGGTGGTGGTTTCTCTTCCATCTGTTGCTCTCTGGTGAGCAAATGCATCCTTCAGTTTGTTTTTTGTTTTTATTTTTTTTAAACACACACACACACACACACACACACACACACACACATGCAAATAAAGATAAATTGTACCAACCATTTTTCTCGATTTAGTAATTTGAACAAAACAGGGAAGGGACTAAAAAGATTTTTTTCTGTTAGTGAACATAGATGCAAGACAAGTATTGAGTAGAATTCATGACAGTACTCCAAAATGGAGTTAACAGACACTCTAAGAGGTTGCATATATTCAGCTATTCAGTTTTCACAATAACACTATTAAGTAATTATGACTATCTCCATTTTATAGAGAAGGAAACTGAGACACAGAATGATTAGGTGACTTGTCTAAGGTCAGCCAGCTTCTAAATGGTAAAACCAGGAGTCAATCCCAATAGTGTACGTAATTTTACTATACCAATGATTCTCAACATGTGGTCTGTGGATCCCTATAAGTAGTCCTTAAGCCCCCTTCAGGGGTCTATGGGATGACAACTATTTTCACAAAAATACCAAGAATGTATCTGCTTTCTTCGCTGTGCTGACATTTACAGAGGTGGGTAAAATTGCTGCTGTCTTAGCATGAGTCACGGGAGTGGCAACCAATTATACTAGTAGTCATGGCATCCTTCACTGCCATGTGCCCACAGGAAAATAAATACAATCTATTTCACTTATGAGTGTCTTTGATGCAGCAATACAGATTGTACTAAATCTTCATCCACAAGTATACATCTTCTAAATTTTTGTTTCATTACAGGGTGCAAGCACTCACCAGAGAGACAGACAGAAAGTGAAAAATCACCCCGGCGGGGGGGTGGGGACCAGCAGTTAGCGTAATGGCTATGTCACTGGACTCCCACGTATAGTTGACCGTGGTTTGAGTCTTGGACCTGGTGGCTTAAATTCACGCCGGGCGCGTGTGCGTGTGTGCCCAAGATCCTGAGAGGAGAATGGAGGAGAAGGGATTGTGGCATGGCCATCCCCCCTGGGGGGTGATTTCTCGCTTTCTATCTCTCTCTCTCTGTCTGGCGAGTGCATGAGCCCTATAGCAAAAACCTCTCCCCCCCCCAAAAAAAAAAAAAATCCCCCCTGGGAGGATGGCCACACCACAATCCCTTCTCTAGTCTCCTCTCTGGATTTGGGCGCCCATCACATATGCCTGGCGTGACTTTCAAGCCGCAGGGTCCCAGACTTTAACCACACAGTTGGCCGTGTGGGATAAAGCTCATTACCTCCTCACCACCTGCAGCTCCTGTCTTGTAAAATTTTAAACACCAGCGTGCCTAACAGTTCTGCTGCATACCCGAGTGAGATGGGTGTCTCAAGGGAAAAGCACTGTGTGATGAAACGGTGAGCTAAACTAGGTTTTTCATGGAACGACATTATTTATAGTTGGCTGTTAGCAAGTAAGCTTGCCATTTCAAGGAAAATAACTAACAGGATTTGTTGAGAATAATAAAATTTGAGCTTTCGAAGGAAAATTAAAATTTTGGAAAACTTTTATCTACCACAGTGAGTTTGACAACTTCCTAGTACTGAAGACTTTTCTGATAAATAATATTAATAAATATGACTTTTTTTGTTTGTTTTTTTGAGTGGTTTTTCCTATAGGTCGTGTATGCTTGCCAGAAAGACAGAGACAGACAGAGAGACAGAAAGCGAGAAATCAGCCCCTGGGGGAATGGCCATGCCGCAATCCCTTCTCCTCCATTCTCTTCTCGGGGTCTTAGGCATGCACACACATGTGCCCAGTGTGAGTTTAAGCCACCGGGTCTGGGACTTGAACTGTGGATGACTACATAGGAGATATGAGAATCTGGCTCTTTTTCAATTAGGCCAGACATTAAGGAGATTTGTATAAATAATAATAATAATAAAAAAAACAATGCTACTTTTCTCACTGAACTTTTCTCGAAAAACAGTTGCTTATCATACAAAGTAAGTTATTTATGTTACTACATAATAGATTTAAATGTTATTTTAAAATAAGTGAACACTTAAATAATTTCAGTTTTAATTCTAATGTGGTAAATATCACTGGATATAACCTATATACTTTAAAAATGTCCCTAAATCCTCAATAATTTTTAAGACTATAAAAAGTTACTAAAACCTGGGACCAGCAGTTGGCATAATGGCTGTCGTTGGACTCCCATGCAGTCAACCACAGTTTGAGGCCCGGACCCGGTGGCTTAAACTCATACCGGGCGCGTGTATGTGCATACCCAAGATCCCGAGAGGAAAATGGAGGAGAAAGGATTGTGGTGTGGCCATCCCCCCTGGGGGGTGATTTCTTGCTTTCTGTCTCTCTGTCTCTGTCTTTCTGGCGAGCACACGTGTGCTATAGCAAAACAAACAAACAAACAAAAAACCAAAAAAAACCACACCTCTCCAAAAAAATAACTTAATTAAATTAAATAAAAAAAAAAGTTTGAGGACTTCTGCACAGCATCATACCAGTGGTGAAATGCAAAGAAGCTGAAGTCCGGAGTGTGGGCAGAGTCACATTCAAGTCACATTCATGTCAGAGCCTTAAAATAAAGATCTACAAACTCCTTCCAGGTGGTCCTTTGTGAACTTCTCCAAATCTAGAACTACTCCCTTGCTTCAGTTATGAGGCTCAGTCGTAGCAAAGTTCTTGTTCATAGAATTTCATGAGTCTCTTCCCCCTTTTTCTCTTACTGGAGCTTTCTAGTAGACCCTACATTTTTTTTCCTTCAGTTTTTGCTACAGGATGTGTGTGTTCACCAGAGGGGGTGGGGGATAGGAGTTGAGAAGTCACCCTCCAGGGAAGATGGCCACACCACAATCCCTTCTTAATTCTCTTCTTGGGGTTCTGGGCACTCACACATATGCACCTAGCGTGGTTTTCAAGCCGCCAGGTCCAGAATGTGAACTGGGAAGTTGGTCGTGTGAGATCCAGTCACCTTAATATCCATGCCACCTGTTGACCTCCATAGACCTTATTTTACTGGAGCTACCTAGAGTGATTTCCTTATAATCAAAGCAGCGTTATTAAAACAATATATATGATCTGTTTTAAGTATGAATATTAATCACAAAAATGGAATGATTTTCTTTTGAATGGAATGATTTTGTTTTTAATACCAAAATAATTCTACCTCTTGATCTTTTGGTTTGACATAGTTTGATGGAAAAATTCCGGTTCTATCTCCAATACTTCCGGTCCACCACTCTCCATCCTTTTGAGTCACCAATATTTCTTCACCTTCAGTGAAAGTTAAATCTCCAGGTTCTACACTTGAATATGGATAAAGTGCAATATATTCTGTAGGGAACAAAGCAAAAAGTGGATACTGATTGTAAAATTTGGAAGTAAAAATGAAATTAGGTTAATCACCAAGATCTTGCATAAACGCACTTTGAAGACTTTGTGCATTATGGACGCCTAATATAAAAAGGTCTGAAGGTTGGAAAAGAAATGAAGCAATTATCTAGTAATTCTTTTTTAAAAAAGTTATCTTGTAGCCTGGTGGTTAAGGGAGCTGGGTCCCACATGGCTGGCACAAATTTGAATCCTGACCCCAATGGCTTGAAAATATGCCAAGTGCATATGGTGCATGGCCAAAGTAACAACAGGATGGAGAGATGAAGACAAGGTTGGATCAGGACCACACCTACTGGGGGTGTTTTCTCCCTTCCTCTCTCTCGCAAGCACATGTGCCTAGTCACGGTCTAAAAAAAAAAAGATTATTTGATTTAAAATAAGCTTTACTATGGGTTTTTTTCTTTCTTTCTTTTTTTTTTTGCACTTGCCAGAGGAAGGGAAAGTTAGAAATCACTTCCCGAGGGAGATGGCCATGGTTCAGTCCCTACTCCCCCATTCTAGTCTTGGGATTTGGGGCACGTATGGACATGCACCCAACATGATTTCCAAGTACCTGGGTCTAGGACTCAAACTGCAGTCAGCCGTGTGGGAGTCCAGCGTCTTAACCACCACACCACCTGCTGGCATCATCATGGTTTTAAAAATATATATATTTATTTGATTTTATTAATTATTATAATTTAATTTGACTAGAGAGACAGAGAAAGATAAAGGAAGAAAGCAAGCCACTAGATAGATCCCAGACTCAAACTGTGGTTGGCCATGTGGGAGTCCAGTGCCTTAACCACTGCAACACATGGGGTTTCTTTTATTTCTGTTTTATTACATTTTGTTAGTCATGATAGGGCATATATGAATGAAAGAGAGAGCAGAGACAGAGAGGCAAGCACTGAACACAGGGCTCAGTGACACTGCAACCCCCTTCCTCCAGGCCTCTAGGCTGCCGAGATCCTGGGCATGTACGTATATGCCCAGAGAGTTTTCAGGTCAGTTGGGTCAGGGACTCGAACCATGGTTACCATGTGGCTTCTAACTGTGGTCTAGTATTACCATGGAGGCTGGGTCTGTTTTATTATTTATCACAAAGATTTACTACAGACTGCAAATGGATATTAGAAATTCTACTTTACAGATAATGAAACTGAGACAGTGAGTCTAAGTACTCATTTGAGAGATAATGAAGTCAGGATAATACTAAAAGATATTTTAAAACTTTCTCATACAAAACACATTTTAACCTGCTAAACTCCTCTCTGCTGTGTCTTATGTATGCAGCTATAGGAATGCCCACACGCAGCAGACAGCAGAGTTAGAGGTGCCGCCACAAGGACCTCGTTGCCAGCACAGTGCTTAGCTCAAGCAGATGCTCAGTAAATATTTGCTAATGAGTGACCTGAAGGGAAATGTCTCGATTTCTATATCGGCTTTAATTTTTGCTCTTCTGAGTACTACCACTGATGACAAATAGCAATGGGGCTTTAGAAGTCTCTTTCCTAGTTTTATTTGTACCTTCCCAGATGGAATTTGATCTGGTATCATCAAATAAATCTGATCAGAGGGATTGGCAGATGGTGTAGTGGTTAAGGCACTGGACTCCCACATGGCTGACCGTAGTTTGTGTCCCAGACCCTGCGACTTGAAACTCATGTTCGGTGTGTGTGCGTGTATGCCCAAAATCCTGAGAGGAGAATGGAGGAAAGGGTTACAGTGTGGCAATCCCCCCCTGAGGGAGTGATTTCTCACTTTGTCTCTCTCCAGTGAGCACACACACCCTTGGACAAAAAAATCTCTAAAACAAACAAAAACATAACAAAAACTATTTGATCAGGAAACATCTATAACCTATTCACTATCCACATTGCCAGCATTACTCACCCTAGCTGATTTAGCTAGACCAAAATGATTGCAAGGCGGAGGTGTGCCGCACAGGTAAGGTCCTTTCCAAAATGCTCCTCACTACTTTCCTCGGCTCCTCTCACAGCACTCGCTCCACGGCACGCGGACACCGACAGCCCTGGATGTACAGTGACCTGAAGTCCTAAACTCTTACCAGCGGGCACTGGCTCAGGCCCTTGGATCTGCCCAGAAGCTCTTTCTACCCCTTTGTCACTAGGCAAGATCTTACTCAGAATCGAGTTGCTAGGGACCAGGTGGTGGTACAGTAGGAACACCAGTGGACCTACATAGGAAAAGCCCTGGTTCACGTCCCAGGGCCTCCCTAAGCACACCAGATGTGTGCACGTGACCATGGTCCAGGGCTGGCTAGGCCTGGGGTTAGATTAGGGTGCGAGGACCCTAATAGGCATGACCCACCTCTGTCTCTCATGGCAGAAAAAAATAAACTTAAAAAAAATTAAGTTATGTTCATTCATTATAGCACTTATCACAATGTATATTTATCTCCTGCTAGTGTGAGCAATTTGGACACTTTTTTCAAAGTTGTATCTTTCAGGTTTTAGCATTGAGTCTTCAACATAGTAGATACTGAATAAGCTGTTCGATTTACCACGAAACCGATTCTTTCTCAAGCAAAATATAAATGTATTTCAACTACTCGACCAATTTTACAATGGGCATACATTTCATTTGTAAAAATATGTAACTATTAAATAAAAATATTGTTCTGAAGTTAGGGTTAGATGATTTTTCATTACATTAACAAAATCAAAATATTGGATGGCTGGAAAAGTCATGACGCATTTTTGCATAGGAAAACATGTCATGACTTTTCTGATGACTCAACAATTTACTAATCAAACAATTCACAGAGCTGTAGAAAAAAAATCTTGCTGGTCGGGCATAGTGACACACACCAGGAATCCCAGTGACTTAGGAGGCTGAGGTGGAAGGATTGTGAGTCCGAGGCTGGCCTGGGCAAAAAAGCAAGACTCTATCTGAAAAAGCACCAGGCACGGCAGTGTGTACATGCAGTCTCCGCCAGAAGGCTGAGGCAAGACAGGCCACATGGCAAGACACTGCCTCTTTCTCTTTCTGCCCCGTGGAGAAAACCTTACAACAAAACAAAACAAATGCTGTCTTTTAAAAAAAAAAAGAAAAAAGGGGGACCAGCAGGTGGCATGGTGGTTAAGGTGCTGGACACTCCCACATGGCTGACCATGGTTCGAGTCCTAGACCTGGCAGCTTGCTTTCTCACTTTCCCTTTCTTTCTTTCTCTCTCTCTGTGTCTCTCCCTGGTCAAATTAAAAAATAAAATGAAAGAATAAAGTAAATAATTCTTAAAAACCCAGATACCTTTATAAAAAAAAGGAAAAAGTTATTTATAATATTTATAATAAAGTATACCTTGATTTCAAATCCTACCTTATTTATATGATACACTATAACTAAAATACAATGTATAAAGTAAATGTACTAAACCTTCTTTACCATCTATCCATCTATACTCAGTCATCACAATTTTTATGTGATATTATTTATTGAGCTAGTCTATGATGAATTTTTTAAAAAGAATTATTTACTTAATTTATTCATTATTGTTATCTGTTTCTAATTTGCTATAGTGCATGTGCACGAGAGAGAGAGAGAGAGAGAGAGAGAGAGAGAGAAAGTCACCAGGTTCCAGACTTGAACCACAGTTGGCCATGTGGGAATCCAGCGCCTCAACCACCACACCACCTGCTGGCCCCAGAATTTTTATAGTATCGACTTTCTGACAGTGTCAAGTATTTTCAGCCATATTTTTCCTATAAACTTAATATTCATATGGAATAGACAAGGGTAGGTTTTCCTAACCTTATTTTACAATGAAGTCAAGAAACAGGGAGAGTAACAACTGTGCATAGTCAGAGCAGCTAATGACTCCCATCTAATTTACAAACTGTCAAAACCTTACCTTCTCCAACTGGATAAGCTGTGGAGGTAGGTTTCTTGTTTACAGCTGCATACAAAGCTTCTGGCCTGCCAAATAGACACACAAACAGATAAACACCACCAAAACAAAAAAAGACATAAGCAAAAAACAAAAAAAGTGATTTAAAGAATACAGGTTTTAGCATTGCTTCTTTTAGGGCTTTCTCAAATTAATCTAAATACTCTCTTATGTACAAAT